TTCCAGAAATGCAAGCTCGATTCAGAAGTGCACATGGAACAAGGGATATCATTGCTGATATCAGATGGATCTTGGCTGAAAGCAAAGAATGCCAGAAAAGTGTTTACCTGTGTTTCATTGACTATGAAAAAGTATTTGACTATGTGGATCATAACAAATTATGGATAACAATGAGAAGCATGGGAACTCCAGAACACTTCATTGTGCTCATGAGGAACCTGTATATAGACCAGGAGGCTGTCATTTGAACAGAACAAGGGGATCCTGCATATTTTAAAATCAGGAAGGGAGTATGTCAAGGTTGTATTCTTTCACTGTACTTATTCAATCTGTATGCTGAACAAATAATCCAAGATGCAGGACTATATTAAAAAGAATGTGGCACCAGGGTTGGAGGAAGACTCATTAACAACCTGCAATATGCAGACAACACAATTCTGCTTGCTGAAATTGAAGATGACTTGAGCCACTTACTGATGAAGAATAAAGACTACAGTCTGCAGTATGGATTATATGTCAACATAAAGAAAATGAAAATCCTCACAACTGGACCAATAAGCAGCATCACAATAAACAGAAAAGATTGAAGTTGTCAAAGATTTCATATTCCTTGGTTCCACAATCACCACCACTGGAAGCAGCAGTCAAGCAATCAGATGAGGTACTGCACTGGGCAAAACTGCTACAAAATACCTCTTTCAAGTGCTGAAGAGCAAAGATGTCTCTTTGAAGACTAAGGTGTGCCTAACCCAAGCCATGGTATTTTCAATCGCTTCATACACATGTGAAACCTGGACAATTGAATACCAAAGAAGAGTTGATGCTTTTGAGTTGTGGTGCTGGCAAAGAATATTGAGAGTACCATGGACTGCCAAGGAACTAACAAACCTGTCCTGAAAGAAGTACAGCCGAAATGTTCCTCAAAAGCGAGAATGGCCAAACTTCGTCTCACCTACTCTGATCATGCTGTTAGAAGGGACCAGTCCCTGAGGAAGGATATCTTGCTTGGTAAAGTGAAAGGTCAAAAAAAGGGGGAAGGCCTTCAATGAAATGGATTGACACAGTGGCTGCAACATTGGGCTCAGGTATAGCAAAGATTGCCAGGCTGGCACAGGACCAGGTACTGTTTCGTTCTGTGGTAGCTGGGGTCACGATGAGTCAGAGCTGACTTGACAGCACCTAACAATAACAACAACATCTTCAAGCTCCATCCATGTATCAAGACTTCATTTCTCCTACTGGCTGAGTAGCATGCTGGAGTACCTACATTGTATGTAAGTACCATATTTTGTTTATCCATTCCTTTATTGATATGCATTTAGACTGCTTCCACCTTTTGGCTATTGTGAATAGTTTTGTCATGAATATTGGTGTCCAAGTCTCTTTTTGAGTCTCTGCTTTCAAGTCTGTTGGTTATATATCTAGGAGTGGAATTGCTGGGTCATATAGTAGTTCTACTTTTAATTTTTTTTGAGAAACCACCATCTACCCACTGCCATTGAGTCGGATTCGACTCATAGTGACCCCTCCTTGGGTTTCCAAGGCAGTATCACTACAGAAGTAGATTGCCCAACCTTCCTTCCAAGGAGTGGCTGGTGGATTTGAACCACCAGCCTTCTGGTTAGCAGTCAAATGCCTTAAGCACTACTCTACCAGAGTTCCTGAGGAACCACCATACTGTTTTCCAAAAACAACAGCACCAATTTGCAGTCCCACTGGCCATGGATAAGAGTTTCAATTTCCCCACATTCTCACCAACATTTGTTATTTTCTCTCTCTCTCTCTCTCTTTTTTTCCTTCACCATCCTAGTGGGAGTGCTTTTGATTTGCATCTCTCTGGTAGTGTAGTGCCTAAGGCACTTGACTGCTAACCAGAAGGCTGACAGTTCAAACCCACCAGCCACTCCTCGGAAGAAAGGTTGGGCAATCTACTTCCCTCGTGATACCACTTCGGAAACCCAAGGAGGGGTTGCTATGAGTCGGATCCAACTCGATGGCACATAACAACAACAATGGCAAATGACACTGCGTATCTTTTCATGTGTTTGGTGGCCATTTGAATGTCCTCTTTGATAAAAAGTGAATTCAAGTCCTTTGCCCATTTTATGATTGAGCTATTTGTCTTTTTGTTGCTAAATTGTCAGAGTTTTATATATACTTTAGTTATTAGATCTTTGTTGGTTATACGGTTTCTGAAGCTATTCTCCCAGTCGATAGCTTGTCTTTTCAGTTTTGGTAAAGTCTGTTAATGAACAAATGTTTTTCATTTTTATGAGGTCCCATTCATTTATTTTGTCTTTTGTTGTTTGTGCTTTTGTTATTAGATAATCCATTGTTGAAATCTAGGCCTGATGCTGTTTCCCCTGCTAGTTCTTAAAATAACTTTATGATTTTAGTTTGTACATTTAGGTCTTTAATCCATCTTGAATTTGTTTTTGTCTATGGTGTGAGGCAATAATCCTATTTCATTTTTCTGCCAATTTTCCAGCACCAATTACTGAAGAGACTCTTCTTTCCCCATCAAATGGACTTAGCATCCTTGTCACAAATCAGTTGACCAAAGGTATATAGGTTTATTTCTATCCTATTCAATTGGTCTATGTCTATTGTTATACCAGTACCAGGCTGTTTTGATTATTGTAGCAATATGAAAACCAAAAAACCAAACTGACTGTTGTGGAGTTGGATCTGACTCATAAGGACCCCTCCTTGGGTTTCTGAGGCGGTATCACTACAGAAGTAGATCACCCAATCTTCCTTCTGAGGAGTGGCTGGTGGGTTTGAACTGCCAGCCTTCTGGTTAGAAGTCAAGTACCTTAGGTACTATGATACCATATAGTATGCTTTTAAATCAGGAAGTGTGAGTCCTCCTACTTTGTTCTTCTCTTTCAGCATTGTTTTAGCTATTTTGGGTCTCTTCCTATTCCATATAAAGCTGAGGATTGGTTTTTCCATTTCCATAAAGAAGGTTGTTGGGATTTTGATTAGGATTGCATTGAATCTTTAGATTGCTTTTGGTAGTATTGGCGTCTTAACAATATTAAGTGTTCCAATTCATGAACATTGAACATCTTTCCATTTATTTAATTAAGTCTTTTTTAATCTCTTTCATAAGTGTTTTATTGTTCTCATTATGTAAATAATTCATGGTCTGGTTAGATTTATTCCTGGGTGATTTTATTCTCTTAGATGCTATTTTAAAGAGAAGCATTTCCCTAATTTTCCTTTCAAGTTTTTCATTGCTGGTGTATAGAAACTCAACTGATTTTTGTTTGTTAACATTGTACCCTGCAATTTTTCTAAATTCCTCTGTCAGCTCTAAGTTTTCTTGTGCACTCTTTGGGGTTTTCTATGTAGGATCATATCATCTATGAATATAGATCATTTTACTTTTTTTCCAATCTGTATACCTTTCATTCTTTTCCATTTTATTACTCGGGCTATGACTTCCAGTTCATCATTGAATAGAAATAGTGACAGTGAATAGTCTTGTCTTGTTCCTAATCAAGGGTAAAGCTCTCAGTGTTTCTCCATTAAGTACAATAAGTCATTTTTTGTATAGTTTCCTATTCCATGTTTTCAAGCTCATCATTTATTTCTTTAAACATAGTTAGCTGCTTGTTTTATTCCTTGTATCTGGTAATTTCCAATATTTAAAGTTTTATGGTGTTGGCAAACAATACTAAATATACCATGGACTGTCAGAAGAACAAACAAATCTATCTTGGAAATACAGCCAGCATGTTCCTTAGAAGCAAGGATGGTGAAACTCCATCTTACATACTTTGGACATGTTATCAGAAAAGACTAGTCCCTGGAGAAGGACATCATGCTTGGTAAAGTAGAGGGTTAGAGAAAAAGAGGAAGACTTTCAACAAGATGGATAGACACAGTGGCTGCAACAATGGGCTCAAGCCTAGCAATGATTGTAAAGATGGTACAGGACTGGGTAGGTTATTGTTCTATTGTACGTAGGGCTGCTATGAGTCAGAACAAACTCTATAGCATCTAACAGCAATGTGCCCTAGAAGTTTATAGGAAATTGAGAGCAAGAAAGCTGTTTGGGAGGATGAGCTGATCTCTCAAGTGAGTCCAAAGCAGAAGGAACTACAAGGAAGATAACAATCTGCCCCCTGAGATAAATTCAAATATACATAGAATCCCAGCCCGTATGAAAAACTGTACTATTATTTAGAAAATAAATATTTGTCTTACATCTCAAATTAAACATTTATTAAAAAATGTCATATAAGGGATGAAAATACTAAATTTTCCTTAAAAAATGAGTATTTTACTCTAGTAAGGAAATCTGCCATCAAAGAGTAAATATATTGACCAACTTGCAAAATTTGCATAAGTTTTATAGCATTTACACTTCCATCCAGCAATTCAATTCTTAAGAATTTACTCCACAAAAAAAAAAAAAAAAATTGACCCTACAGATATACTTCACACATGCAAAATGATGTATATTTAAGATTATTCATTACAGCAGAATTTTTAATAGTAAAATATTAGAAAAATCTAAATAAATATAAATTAGGTGCTTGATAAATAAGCTATGGTCCATAATTTGCAATCCTATGCAGATAGCAGAAAGGAATGAGGAAACTCTATGCACTGAAATAGATGTAGCTGCAAGATATATTTTTAAGCAAAAAAAGAGACAGTTTTTATACATTTAGACATTTATACAAATGTTATCATTTGTATAAAAAAATATTTTAAAAATACACATTAAAAAAATTCTTTGAAAGTATCAACAACAAAAAATGTAGGTTTGTTTTTGGGAAGATGAAAGTTGTGGGGAGGAGAGGAAGACAGTGTAGCTCTTTATACTGCTTGATACATAAACCATGTGACTGTATTTCCTTTGCAAAAAATAAGTTAATTTTAAAAGAAAAAAGAATAAAACTTTTCTAAAAGCTGCTGCAGAATTATATAGTTAACATAAGATCTCAGTGGCATCCCTCTAACATAGAACAATGAGAAACACTTACACTGACTGAAATTCACTTGACCATGCTCCATAAGGATGTACAGCTGAAGAACAAGTTGTGGGCAACCTTCCAGGTAGGTCTCAAATAGCCTGAGCATGCTCAAATCAGTCACTCTATCTATAACTTCTTTATGTGGATCAATTTCTTCTTCAATGAAGTTATTAGCTTTGCTGCCACATTTGAAAGCCACATGGTGACCCTTTTGCAAGGCAAACCAATACCTGTAAAGTAAATATGAACATTTATCTTCAGTAATATTCTTTATAACATGTATGTTAATATACATGATGATTTTGAAGAAAGTGACATTTAAAAACAGAGTCTCTTTCTACAAACTTTCTCTACTATAGATTTCTCTCAATGTTGTGAACATTTCATGGTGCCTCTGTTGAGATTCAGATTCCATAAGTTTTTGTTACATGCTGTGATGTACAATTCTGTATTAGGCCTACTAAGCATGCATGAGCTAATCTCATCTTCAAAATAATTATGTGAGATCACTATGTATTACTCCTACTGGGAAAACAAAGGCTGAGAAAAGTAAAGTGCTTTGCTGAAAGTACAGAGAGAGTAAAGGTCCAAACCAGATTGTATCTTTCCTAGTCTTAACCTCTACTTTCCGAAAGACAAACTGCAACTTTCAGTTCATTCAGTTTCTCTTACATACAACACACATGCATGCCCATGATAATGTCAAGTCTAAAAATGTGATCAAATAGTCCTTTCAATTTAATCCAGCAACAATTACTTAATACCTACAAGATCCTTGTTGTTTGACCATTACCAACCCAGAAAACATAAACTCTCAAAGACCCTTCAAACATTCCTGTTCAGCTCTTCTTTTAAAAGAATTTTTAAATGAACATAAACTATCATCATGAAAGTAAAATTTATAACAACAACAACAAAAAAAAAAACCTGAGAGGCTTATTTAGAAGAAACTTGAAGCTAGTGGCAAGGAACAGAAAGGAACCACTATCAGAACTTTTATCTATATCTCAATGTCCTCAGACATAAAATAAGAGCAATTATATACCTGTTTCAACTTGACCCTTCTGCTAGTGTTTCCCATTTCAGTAAATGGTACTGTAATTCACCATAATACTCAGACAAAAAAAAATAAGAATAATGTCCAACTACTTTCTTTTTATCATATCCTATATTCAATTCCTCAGAAAGTTCTCATGGCTCTTGATTCTAACTTCAAATATATCCAGAATCTAAACAATTCTCACTACCTCCACTGCTACCATTGTAGTTTAAGCAACCAACATCTTTGACCTAGATTATTTTTATAGTCTCTTTAACTGGTCTGATTCTACTCCTGATCCCCATATAAACTATTTTTAACACAACATCCATTTTGAATCTTTTAAACATAATTCAGATGGCACTCCCCTGCTCATAATGTTCCAATGATTTTTCACCAAACTAAAATTAAAATCCAATTACCTTGGGACTTCCAGTAAGATGACAGAATAGGCAGACTAGCTACACAGACCCTCTTCAACAAAGAAAAGAGAAACCAATTGACAGAGATACAGAAGATTATCCTGGAGCCCTGAGCTTTGAAAGGAAGTATACAGAAGTGGATTAGGCACCAAGTACTACAAAAACCTGAGTGAAAACAGAGATGAACAGAGCTGTGGACTGTCAACTACTCTGAAGGCACCAACAGCCTAAATATTTCCAAGTAGTGTTGGGACCTGATAATTGACCTAAAGATCAGCCCTGGTTGCCAAGGTCTGCAGGGACAACTGCACTGCTGGCCTATGACTAGGAAGGGAAACAGAAAGGAGGGACACAAACTGAGTTGTGGACTCTTCGGCTGTCTGGAGGATGCAGCCATTTTTATTGTTTACAAGCTGTGGCCATTTTGGATATTTAAAGTGATTGAGGGAGCAGCCATTTTGAATGTTTACAAGTGACGACCATTTTTTATATTTAATGTGACTGAAGGCACAGACATTTTGAATGTTTAAAAGCAGTGGTCATTTTGGTTATTTAAAGTGACAGCATTCTCCTTCAGATTTCAGAGACCTAAGAATAGCCTCTGATGCCAAGAACAGCAGGGACATACAGGAGGCTGAAATTGGGAAAGGAGACAGGTGGTGTGATGGTGATGTTTGTATGTCAACTTGGCTAGGCCTGCTTGCGTGGCTGGGCAGCTGGATGTAGTATTCCCCATGATGAGACTGGTAATCAACTCCATGGTGGAATCTACTGGGAGCAGCTGAGTAGCTGCCTTTGGGTATATGGTCTGCTTCCTGTATATAAGGAGAAGCTTTGAGAATGGTCTCAAGCCTATGGCACACTTGGACCCTGCATGTAGCCATGTCATTGCTCAGCAGCCTGCTATGCTTTGCCAACCTTGGGACTTACAGTGGACTTAAGTTAATGGCCTGCCAGGTGGATTGGTAACATTGGAACTGTGCCTTTTTCCTTGTCAACCTTGGGGCTTCTCGGCCTCAGCAGCCAACAGCTGTCTGAGTGAAGAAATACCTCTAGCTCCAATGGGCTGGGAGCAGGACGCAGAGCTGGACCCCAAGGCTGAGGGGCTTTCACCCAGCCCCTGGAGCCTGGCACCTTGAACTTGGACTTAAAGCCTCCAAATTGTAAGAATAAACTCCTATTGTTAAGGCCATCCCATTTATGGTATATTCTTGTCAGAGTGGCACTAGGTAACCAGAACAGGTGGTAAGTATATAAGTGCTGCCAACTAGGGAACAGAGGAGCACAGTACCCTGCTTATTTAGATAACATCCAAAGAAAAAAACAATTGTGGGCAAGTCACTCCAACATACAATCACCAATTAAATATAAACACAAAAATGTCATGATGTCTCAGAGACAACAGACCATCACAGTCCACACATAGAAGCAAGACAAAGTAATAGAAACATGGGACCAGGATACAGACCCAGAACACATTCCTAAGGAAGAAGCAGCACTGGAACTCCCTGATAAGGAATTCAAAAGAATTATATTTAGGTACCCTCAACAGATTGAAAGACAGATCAAGGAAAACACTGACAAATTGAGGAAAACACAGAGAAAACCCTAGAACAATTTTGGAAAAAAGTACAAGTATAAAATGACAAAATAAATTGAAAATTAGAAATTATTCTAAATCTACAGATAGAAATCCAGAAGATTAATACTAAATTTTCAGAAATAGATAACACATTGAAAGGGAAAAGGAGCAGAACTGAATCAATGGAGGACAGAATTCATGAGATTAAAGACAAATACCTGAATATTTCTTTGGAGAAGGAGCAATCAGAAACAAAAGATCAAAACAAAATAAGAAAGCTTAAGATCAGGTGGAATACCATCAAAAGGAATAACCTACGTGTAATCAGAATTCTAGAACAGGAAGAGACAAAACCACAGAGAAAATTGTCAAAGATTTGTTGGAAGAGATTCCCTGGTATGATTCATTCAAGAAGTCCAACGAACCCCAAACAGGATAGACCCTAAAAGAAAATGAACAAGACATATCATCAAACTCACCAAAACCAAAGACAAAGAAAGAATGCTGACAGCAGCATGGGAAAAACAAAAAGTTACCTACAAGGGGCAAACAATTAAGGTTAAGCTCGGATTTCTTGGCAGAAACCATACAGACAAGAAGACAATAGGATGGTATATATAAAACTCTGAAAGAAAAAAATTTCCAACCAAGAATTATACATACAGCAAAACTGTCCCTCAAATATGATGGTGAAATTAGGACATTTCCAGATAAGCAGAAATTAAGGGAATTTGTTAAAACCAGACCAACCTTACAAGAGATGCTAAAGGGAGTCCTTTGGACAGAGAACCAACAACAGCAAACAACAACTGACCATTAACACACATGATGACATAACCCAGAAACCAACTCAGTTATGGAAGTATCCAAAGTAAATAAGCCTACAAGATTGTAAACAGGGAATCAAGGACATCAATTTACAAATGAGAACAACTACAAACCAAAAAGAGGGGAAAAAAATATGCGATTTCAGAACTTCTAAATGGTAGGGAAGTCAAGACACCTGCAAGATCAAGTGGACTGTTTTAAACTTGGGAAGAAAATTATAAATCACAGGGAAACCTCAAAGAAAAATGATAAACCTTCACATCAAAATTTAAAAAAAAAAAAAAGCAGACAAGCACAAATATTTAGTAAATACTAAAACAGTAGCAAAAAAAGAAAGTGTTACTATGAGATATAAACGAAACAAGCTCAGCAGAGAAAACTACGTGGAACAAAGAAATCAGCAACACCACAAAAAGGACATAACAAAATAACAGCAACAAATTCATACTTGTCTATAAGTATACTGCCAAAAGAGTAAAAAAAAAAAGAATGTACAGATTGGGAAAAATATTTGGCAATGACATATCTGACAAGGGACTTATCTCTAAAATTTATAGAAAACTCCAACACCTCAACAACAAATAGATTAACAATCCAATTTAAAAAATGGGCAGAAGACATGAATAAATACTTCACCAAAGAAGATATTCAGGCAGCAAGCAAATACATGAAGAAATGCTCACAATCATTAGCCATCAGAGAGATGCAAATCAAAACAACAATGAGATACTACCTCACCCCAACACGAACGACAAACAAAGTTCAACAAGACAGAAAATAACAAATGCTGGCAAGGATGTGGAGAGATTGGGACTCTCATACACTGCCGGTGGTATTGTAAAATGATACAACCACTGTGGAAAGCAGTATGGAGATTCCATAAAAAGCTGAAATTAGCAATACCATTTGACCCAACAATCCCATTACTAGGCATGTATCGTAAAGAAGTGAGAGCCAGGACAAGAACAGATATATGCACACCCATGTAAATCACATTTACAAGGCAAAAAGATGGAAACAATCTACATGGGCATCTTCCACAGAAGAATGGATAACCAAACCATGGTACATACACACAATGGAATACTATGCAACATTAAAGAATAATGTAGAATCTGCAAAACACCGCATAACGTGAATGAACTTGGAGCACATTATGCTTAGTGAAATAAGTCAGTTACAGAAGGACAAACATAGTATTAGTTCATTATTGTAAAAAGTCAAGGAAAGGCGTTCTGGCAAGATGGTGGACTAGGCAGAAAGACTGCACAGACCCTCTTCAACAAAGAAAAGGGAAACCAATTAACACAGACACAGAAGATAATCC